GGACACGACAAGGAGGAGAAGGAGACGAGACTGTGGTGATGATGTTGGACATTGTCTCATCGGCAAGTTGTAGTAGGAACTCTGCCTATCTGCAGCCAGACGAGAAGACGCGAGGGAGAAGAAGATGTGACTGTTGTTTGTGATGCTGGGAGGGAATCAAGGTTCGAAGTAGGTTAAAAGTCGGTGCAACCAGCAAGTTTCCTATTAGGGGGGGGAGGATACTTTTATGACCCCCCACTAGTAGGCTGAGGCTGGTAATTTATTAAAAACAAAGGGGAAAAAAAAAGAAAAAAAAAGAATTAGGTTGAAGTCTGACATGGAAGAAGGGGCATGAAAAGGGAGAGGGAGATGAAGAGGGTGGAGAGAGCTCTTGGAAAAGGCTAGTCAGTATGGAGAGAGGAGAAGCAGCCAGGGGAGGAAGCTCATTCGCGATGGAGGGGGGGCAAACAAGGTTGAAATAGGTCATACGTCAGTTTGTGTGCGAGCTTTATCCAGACAATTGTCTTTTTTCTTTGAGATGTTTCCCGATTTTTGTCGTGGCTTCTCTTTTTCAGGCGTGCAATGTTTCTCTACTCAGTACTGATTTCTGCGATTGCCCCCAGTGGCCCCCCCCCCCCCCCCCCCCCCCCCCCCCCCCCCCCCCCCCTGAAAAAAAAAAAAGAAGGAATTGGACCGTCTTCTGATGTTGGGTCGTGTTGGGCACATCTAGAAAATTATAGAGAAATGGCTTTGTGGCGTTCCACAGCGTCCTGCCGACGAACTTGTAGAAAACAAATGTGAAAACATGTCTAGGACACTGCCTGGAAACTCTTGGATGACACAGCCATTTGGAAGGAACGACACCTTTAGCAGCAGGTACTTGTGTCTTTTTACGTTTAAGGGTAAGCAGTGTGTCACAACCCCTCTGTTGGCTCGGTGTATTCGTCCCCCGAACATAACACATATGTGTTATATTCAAGTTTTCGAATATGCGTTGTATTCGTTCACAACGTATGTGCGTTATGTTCGGGAGAAGAACGTAGTTTTCTTCGGTCAATAGGTTGACAACAAGTGGCCTCCGTTAACTTTCTGTCTCCTGTGTGAAGCGTTTGGAAGCAGTTCATCCTCTCATGGACATTGGACAGACAATTTGCCTTGCAGAATTGTGGGATCAACCAATCATCTGACTTGGGTGCTTGTATGTCTTCTTCTTCTTCTT